GTAATCTTTTCCTGTTAAATCAATAAATCAAATCAAATCAATAAAAATGATTCCACGGTGTGTGAGGTGGAATTACAGAGTTCTTCTCTCAACAAGGAACCTATAAAAACAACACAAGATGTTTTATTTAGCCTTCCTCCTCTTGTCCCACCCCTATACTGTCCCTGATCAAAATATAAATACATCACATGACATTACATGTCACCTTTAGCTCCCTCTCAGGGGGTCCCACAGTCCACCGTCTGAATCCACAGCACAACAAAAGCTTTAATTTTCTTCAGGATTTTACTTTTTTTTTCCTGGGTGACTTTTGTCATTTGTTTAAAAAAAAAACCAAGAACTTCTTTTTGCTTTCTGCTGTTTTCAAGGTGAGTATGAACAGCTGCTGACAACCAGAACTGCATGACCCGGTGACATTTCAACACRATGTGATTTCCTTTCATTTGACGTTTGCTTCAACATTTAAAACTATTGTCTTATTCTTCATCACAAAGCACGAGTGTTTTATYGTACTTGAACAGGTTAAAAATCACTGGGCAAGGGTTTAGATAAAAATAGCAGACAGCTGCTTTTTGTTGAAGCCTTCCTATTATAATCATCCTTTCTAATGTGCAGTTCTACTTTTAAAGAAAGTAAAAGTGAGTATCTTATTGATGCCATCTTTATTAGTTTTCAGATATTTAACGCAACATGTTGTTTAAACTTCTAATTTTGAACTTCATCCAAGGATTTTAAAATCTTCTGGATGTGTCTAAAATACAGTGAACAGAAAGTTTAAAGTGTCCCACAAGAAGAAAATGTTTTAACCCAGTTGACACTATAGCAAAAAGCTACTTTTACCTTAACCCTTTTGTTGCTGTGTCAAATTATAACAAGCCATATTTAGATCATAATGCATTATATTTATTTTACCAGTTTACTGGCAATTAACTGGAGTATTATAAAAATATTAGGTGTTTAAACAACAAACAAAAGTTAACTTTCAGGAGCAGAAAAGAAATTACGAACAGGCTTGTTGCAACACATAAAAATAAATGTAACAATGACGAACAAAGCATTNGCTAAGATACTGCGCAGAACCCTCAAGCTCCCAGGCCTCTGGTAGAGGACCCGAGCTCAGAGGATGAAAGAGACCACCCGCGGAGGGTGAGAAGGGAATTTTATTATATATATAAAAATAAAAGTTTGCAGTATGTTCTGATTGTTACGTGTTGCAGTGTAAAACCTTTTGTTCATCTGTTGTCAGATGGGTTCTGTTTGAACATTAAAGCACTGTTTCATGAAATGTAAAGACCACCAGGCTCTAAATCATCTGGAGCTATTAGTATTTTTTATTTTCACATACAGATACATCTGTAGAAACTTCATTAACAAATCTAAACAAAAATAAAAGATGACCACATGAGTTGCAACAGCTTAGTTTTAGTCCACCGTCCTCTGGAGTCGATTAGCTTACAGCTTTAAATGAGACGTATGCTTTTAAATCCTTTTTTCACATTTAAATGATTTGATCTTATACAGTATATGTAGTGGTCACATAGGGGTGGATAACAGTTCCTGTCTTTGACCTTGGTCTGAAGGCCTCCAGAGAGACAGAACTCTGTTCAACAGGTTTTCTTAAACAGTAAAGAGACATTTTCTTATTATTAATCAGATAAACAGAATAATCTTTTATTCATAATTTTAGCAATGTATAAAAAACAAAGTGTTATTACAAAGTTTTATTGTGCTTTGATGTAAATCACTGCTTGAACTACAACTGAAACCACAGTAATTGAAGTCTATGAAGTCTATGACGTTGTTTATCAGTTCTGCAACAAATACTACGATGTTATTGTTCAAAATACATCATTGGGAATTGAGAAAAGTGAGTGAAAAGTATGACCCAAACAGAATATAAAGATATCTATGCAGCAACAAGGGAGCCCTACTTTTCTGCACTCCTGCAGACTCCAGGCACAACAAAATGTATTAATGGATAAAAATGGAGATTTTTGCATATGTCCCATTTTATTCCAAATTTTCACTGAATTTTTCTTCATTTTTTTATGTTAAGAAAGAATTAAGCTCTTTGCTCAGAGTCGCACCCAAACACCTTTTAATGTCAGGATGGAGCAGTAAGATATTTAAAGAAAAAGGTGAGTTTTTACGTAAATGTACTTTTTAAGCATCTGAACTGCAGTGAAAACATTTTTGGGGAGGATATCCTTCCTGATTTAAACCCTAGTTATAAACACGTTTCACTGTCTTGTTTAACTCACGGCTCTTATTCTGCTTTGTTTTCCCTTCTAAACATATATATAAATATTAAATCTAAACATAAAAGTTCAATCTTACATGTAAATAAATGTTAAAGTTTATATTTAAAGGCACAGTGTGTAAGATTTGTTGTTTTCAGCGACATCTAGTAGTTGAGTGGTTGAATCATCCTCCCTGGTCC